ACCAGGCTTTCTTATGTTTACAAAAGAGTCTCATCTGGGAACACGATAGTTTTATTGCAGTGCACTGATAAGGTTGTATCAACCTCATGTTTGCTAGAAAAATAGTGTCTTCTCCTGAAATCTGTTTTAATAACCCTTTTACGTTAGTTGTTTCAATTCTTGCTTTGTAGAAAACTAAAAACTGTGTTATAACTGCCTGCTCAGAGCTCATCTTTCTGCCTAGTGGACAAGTTTCTCCTGCCGTAGCAGCTTGGAGGCCTTCCTAAGGCCCCCAGGTGAGCTGGGTTTGCTGGTGATCCATCTGATGGGCACACTGAAACCCTCAGCTCCATCCTCTGTGTGCCCTCCTGAAATGGGATCTGCTTATCACTCTTAGACCGCATTGCTCGCGTTGCTATTATTTATCGTGTTTTAATTGCATCTTTCTAACAGTTTAGACAGCCATTCCCATTAAGGGTATGATTTGCATTTTGAGAGTTGGTTAGATGAAGTCCATGTAATAAATGGTAAATCCATGCTTTGATCTTTTGGAAAGCGTTCAGTGTCTTTTCTCCCTGTAAAGTGCTCTCTGGCGCTGGAATATCAGCCCAAACTTCCTCGCATCCATTCAGCATCACTCTTGAGGGATTTGTGGTTCAAGATCTGAAACTTCACCGCACTTTACAGCAACACATCTGCAAACCATGAGACCTGGCTTTTGTCCAGCACGAGCTCTTTTCCTGATGCCTATCAGTATTTTGTAATTTTTTACACAAGCTGTTTGTAATTGTTTGTAAAAGATAAAACCTTAAAGTAGGGATTTAAAATAATTACATTTATTTTTTTGTCTCACATAATAGAAATAACCTGGAGAAAATACTTCCTTCTCCCATTTTCATTAGTATCCTGACCGAACTCAGAATTCTTATTTAAGATTGTTTTCCTTGCAGTTGCAGCATATAGCCCAGCCTATGAGATGTTGGAATGCCCTTTAAAAGGGCAGTTATCATGGAGATAGGAATTTCAGTAGCAAAACGGAATTGTCTGACACGTGGGTGTGTTCTGAGATGATACTGCATCATCATGAACCACTACATGAACTATGGTGGCGTTAGTCTCACCAAGGAAAAGCAAGCTGCTTCTGTTATGGACTTGTTATGGACTATCTGTTTTATGGGTTGGTGAAATGAGTGGCCATCTTGGTTTTGATGGCACCGCGTGGAGCCCTCAAGCTGATGAGAACATTCCTGAAGTCAGAGCATCCATCCAATGCTTGCAGACGTCATGCTGTTGAGGAAGGAGGCTGAGCTGGGTTGGAGAGCCACACGCATGGTTTCCTTGCAGCCAACACTTCAGGGGCACGGGGCAGTTCTGGGCTGTCTGCAGGACCCCACGGAACTGCTGAGATCCATGTCTGTGCATTTTGGAAAGATTTTTAAAACACCCCTTAACACTTGGATGGGTGCAGCTGTCATCTAATTTCTTCTGGATTAAGTTCGGTCAAGAAAGAAGCTGCCTCATTTTCTGGTTGTCATTTGCCCAGGAAGTAAAAGCAAATTGTAATGAGGGAATCACAGCAGGAGAACCTCCTAACAAATGAGAGCACATATTGACTGAAAGCCAGCATGCCATTCCAGTGATAAATGTATTTTTATACACTGCTGCTCAAGGTCACTTTCTGCTCTCATTGTGCACTGCCTGTCACATCATGCAAGTCACATTTTAATACAGAGTAATAGTAATGGTTGATGCAAAATTATATTACTGTGAGATTAAAAATTAAGTTATATATTTTATTAAGTTAAAAATTTTAATATATGTGCTTTGACTTTATCTTGATATTATTGAGAATCCATTTGAAGGACAGAAAGAAAATTAATTTAAAGATGTAAATATACTTTTTCTTGGTGTAGTCCTGAAAGTTTTACTGCAATTGTTAGTACTTCTTGAAGGAGCACTGAAATGTAATTATTGAAAGTACTGAAGCTATTTTAAGAAAATGCTGTAACATCTTACTGGGTGAAGCTGTGTAGTTTTGGAAACTGAGGTTTTATAAAATGTTCTGAGTGTGCTCATGCAACCCGTAGTCCTGGGAGGTCTCACGTGGCTGGCCTTCAAAGGACAGTGCAACAAATGGATAGAAAGGTTTTATCAGACACGTTGCTCATGCTGAGATTAGACCAAAGCTGAGCGTTCAGGAAATCATGTGTTTAGTGTGGACTGCGTGCAGCATGTCCCTTCTGTATCTGTATTGTGATTACATGTTGTAAAATAAAGAAGAGGGGGGATCATTGTAAGGTGGCAAAGAGAGGTCAGTAAGTGGGGCAAGGCAGACCGTGGCTGTGATGGGGAAAGGCTGTGGGCTGGTGTGGGCATGGGATGAGTGGCTGGGAAAAGGAGATTCCCTTCTTCAAATGCAGAGGCTAATTGAGTTCTGAGACACTGTTCAAGATTGATGTGGAACTTAGAGGTTCTGTAGGTATTCAGAGCACATCACAGAACTGTGGAATAGTTAAGGAGAAGAATTCTAGGATCCCTAAGACCAGCCCCAACCCATCCCTGCCATGCTCACTAACCACTAGTGTCCCAAAATGCCAGATCTGCACAGTTTTGGAACACCTCCGGGGGCAGTAAGGGTGGGAAGGAAGTAGAGGGAGAGTTAAACCTCATCATTTCTTTTGTTTTTTAATAGCACCTTCAACACCTTGCTTTTTCCACCTTCTTTCGGTTGTTGGCTGTCTTCCCCCAGTCTTTGCCTTTAGCACAGTGATCTTTGCAGTTGCAATTTATCTGTGCTCTATGTTGTATTTAGGCCAGCTTTCCGGAGCACCTTTAGGAGCTGACTGTGGCAGAGCACCTTAATTTCCAAATGACCAATTCCTTGTGCAGGGACTGTATCCTCTGCAAAAATTGGAGCTGATACTTTCATCTGGTCCAAATGAAAGCAGTCAGAGCTTTTAATGGCAGTGCTAAGCTGGGACAAACCCAATGCTTTCTGCTTTTCACATGGTACCTGCTAGAAGTGTGGTACTTCTGCGGGTGCATCAGGCATGCTGCATCCTCAGTGAGTGATTGTTTTTGTTTCATTTTAGTTAAGGTACCCTTTGGGACTGGGGAGATAAATATCTAATAATAAATGTGGTAAAATATTGCTATGTCTCTATAGCAGTATATATGTTACTTTATCAATTTAAAGTATGCATTCCAGTATTTATTAAAATAAAATTGCCGCAGTGATACAGTGCTTATTTTTTATGTCACCTCTAACAGAATAATGCAGTTCAGTGTAGAGTTTGCCAAATATTGGACTCAGAATTAGGTTGTCATAGCCTCAGTATATCATGTGTACAGGACAGCGGCGGTGACAGGTGCAGAAGTCAAATAGTCTCCCAGGAGCGTGCTCCCATTAAAAAACAATTGCTTGGGCAGAGGGAAGCTCCAAGCAGCTGCACTTTGTCCCACCCTGTCTGCCGTGCAAGATTCAGACGATTGCCAAACCAATGCTGCACAGATTTTATTTTAAATAGAAAATAATTTTTATTATGCACTATTACACTTCAGAGCGTAACAAAAAATAATGCAAAGAGGCAGCGTGTTGCCGTGTGTTCCTGCTGAAGCACAGCCATCACTGCCATTAATGCAGCATTCAGCACAGTGCCAGCCAGGGCAGTCTGAGCTCCAAATGCATGGGTGCAAGCAAAATATTTTGAATGAGTAGCCATAATTTCGTTTTGTTCTGCTTATTCACTTTGCCTAGGAAGCACAAGATGTGCATTGCAAAGTACACATTTAGGTAGTGCACTAAAAAATAAATCTTGGCTTGAAAGGATTAGCATCAATTAGAGGAGCACTTGCTTTAAATAACAAAGCACATTAATTCCCTTAAGGATTGTACTTATTGGAACGCATTTTCAGTAGTTAAGAAGAGCAACAAGTGTGCAAGTACTATTGATTTTCCACCTTTGTATTACCAAAACATTTTTTATTGACAAGTATTACTTGCTTGTTAAGTGCTGCAGTTTGATGGGTCTAAACTTTGGATCATCTAATTAATTCCCCTTTCAAATCTTCATCCTAAGCTGTAGTGATTACCTTGAAGACGTAGGTTTGGGGTTCTGTTAGACTTTACTCAACTTACATGATGCACAATAAATATATTGATGGATTGTTAATGTAAGCCTTACTTCGGGTGCACCGTGCCATCTCAGTGGCTTTGCATCTTTTAGTGTCCTGGAGCTGGCTGTAGGAGCACTCTTGTTTTCATGTGCTTTTATTTTCACAGCCTACTTTTGGTCGATGAATGTTTCAAAGTCTTTTTTCACACACTGCAAGTCCCGCCAATTTAAAATTGGCACAGAGCCTCTTAATGCAGAGAGAGCAGCTACTGTGTATTCTTCAAAGAAATACTTTCTGAGCTTGTTACTAATGTCTTCGTTATGGTAATCCAATAAAAGATGGTATTTTAAGGAAATTGCCCTCCTATCTCCTGCAGGAACCAAACCCTGAAGTTCCTCTAGCTCTGCAGAGGTGTTTGCCAATAAACCTTGGATAGATTCTGTGTGCTTTCCCAATTTGTGTCATGCTTTTGATTCGAGACCTAAGATGCAATGCTGAAATAGGAGGAAGAGGCTTCTGCTCATAGTACTTGCTGTTTTCTGACTGTAGGAGTTTGATGAACTGTTCCAGAAACTTCTTCCAGAAGTCTAGATGCTGTCGCATTTGTGTTTGCTTACGAATCTGTTCAGCACTGCTGTGGTGCCAAGTAAGGAATGCTCTGTTACTGCTCTTAGAACCACAGAATCATTAAGGTTGGAAAAGGCTGTTAAGATCACAGACTCATTAGAGTTGCAGGTCACCCTTAAATGCCATCTGGTTCAACTCCCCTGCAGTAAACGGGGGCATCTATGGCTAGATCAGGTTGCTCAGAGCCTCGTCCAGCCTAGTTCATCAAGTCCAGCTGCCAACCATCCCATCACCACCATGCCCCCTAAACCGTGTTCCTAAATGTTCTCTCTTGGCAGACAATCCACGGGCACAAGGGGCCGATCACAGCAGTGGCCTTTGCTCCTGACGGCCGGTACCTTGCCACCTACTCCAACTCAGACAGCCACCTCTCCTTCTGGCAGGTAAGTGCCTTGCTGCAAGCCTGTGTGCCCCGGAGGATCAATGCAATCTGCCCACCTTTGGTTTTGTTGCACATCATGTTTTTTCTATTTTTATAAAGTACAGATCTTTTGCTGTTTATACTTAGACATGCCTTGCAGTTATCTCCTTGTGAGGGGTGAGGGCTTATTTCCATACAAATCAGTGTGTAAGTTCAGAGCAGTCAGACAAAACTTTGTCCTGTTTGCTGTTTGAATCTAATCCTGTTGTAACACTTCAGTTTTACACACCTAAAACACCCACTTGGTTTAGGTTTAGGGCCTTGCAGGAGACCTCCAGCCAGTTCTGCCAGAAGTGCTGCTCCTGCTCTCACACTGTCCCTTCCCCTAGTAGGAATTTCTCTTCTCTGACTTCTGGAACCCAGTGAGTTCTCATAAATGAAGATCTCAGTGATATTTTCCATTTCTTGGACTCAACATGATGCAAAACTATTCAAGATGAACACTGGTCCCATTACTGCTGCGCCAAGTCCTGCTCAGCAGACACAGCTGCTCTACTTTTGAGCACGGATCCCTGGTCTGCCCCTCACACTGTCGAGCTGCCTGGAATTTCCATAACGATGCAGGGAACAGAAAGGCTGAAAGAGAAACAATACAAAGAGGGTCTGAAATGGAAGAAACTGAGGTTCAGGTCAACCTTTTATGAAGTACCTGGGGGTTTATTTTTTTAGTGTAGGAGCAAACTTTGTATCTGTAGAAATACTGTTTTGTCAGCAGTGGATAGGTGTAGCGTGGTGGGACAGGTGAGCACACAAGAAGCTTCATTGGTGCTTACATTTCCTCACCAGGAATTTTTTCTTCCTTTAAATGACTATAGACTTAAAAACTGACTCTATCAAGCAATTTGTGTAGACTATTAATTTCGTTTTGCAGTAGTCATACTATATAATAGAACCCCGTATACCACTAATTATTAGTTAGCTTTTAATATGTTCCCCTGGTCGTCTGATGCCTTTCATTATTTTTACAGGTGCCATAATAATTATTAAATTATTATCCATCACTGTTTTGCGTATTTTCTGTAACAGTAAATGGGAACAGCAAGAATCTTCATCCATCAGTTATACTTACTTGATTTAAGTACTCAGGGAAAGTCTAGAAAGCAATCAGAGCAGGTCATGTAAAACTGGCAGGCAAAAAAAATCAGGCACGTGGTTTAAAATGTGAGCTGCCACATTCTTCCAGGTGTATAAATGTTCACGTTGAAGTGGCTTTCACATAAAGAGTTAAATATACCTACACATTCAGTTCTAAAATGTGACCTCGTGCACTAGTGATTTTTTTTCCCTTCTGTATTCCATTTGGCACTATTATTAATGCAGGAAAATCAGTAACATTAGTCATCTTAAAAGGGTTATTACTCAAGATGATTTAAATTGTGAAAATGTCAGTGGTGCGTGCATGCTCCCTGCTAGAGATGCCATGATTTACACTCTCTGACACCATTCTGCTGCTGAGAAGAGCCAGGAAAAAGTAATGGCTTGTACTTTGTCCTGATCAGAATTCAGAGCGTGGGATCAGCAGCAGCATGACTGCCATGTCCCAGGATTTGCCAGGGCTCCACATGGCACACTCAGGGATACGGCACAGCAGCCGTCTGCCTGCTCTTAGACTCCTAAGGAGCGCCGTGCCTGAGGGTTTTCCAAGTAAAGGAGAGCTCGTAAGGCAAGGTTAGGCAGCTTGTTTTTAAACCATGGAGCTAGGCAGCATGCATCTGCAGTAACTGGCCTGCTTTATGCAGAGTGGAACCCATCAGATTTCTCCTGAGTGCTTTATTTATCTAGGAGAAAATAATAAAAATTTGCTTTTTTTCTGCAACTGTTGCAGAACTATTGCAACTATTATGATGATTCTTCTTAATTTTGCATGATTTCACATTTGGTGTTTTAATTATTTTGACAAAAATATTCTGGCATAGATATAATCTTGAAAACTTTTCATGTTTCTCCTTAAAATTTGAATAGAAGCCTTTAATTATAAAGACCTACAAGTGAAGTGTGAGATTTTTCAAAGTCGTAAATAAACTGTTTCCTAGCTAATTTATTGATTTAAATCTTACAATTCAACTTGAGAAAGGCACAGGCAAGGAGAACAATAATTTAAAAAAAGATATGGGGCAAGCAGTGAGCTCTGAGCAGCCTGGTGTGCTGTTTGGCAATCCTGCACATAGCAGGGGAGTAGAAACCAGGTGATCATTGTGGTCCTTTCCACCCAGGCCATTCTGTGATTTTGTGAAGTGGTTCTTGATTGCTGAATGTAACTGAGTTCTGTGCGTAGGAGGTAAACTTCAAGTTTTTGACTGTAATTTGCTTTCCATTTAGTCGTGCACCAGTTTCCTTTCTCTTGTGTTGGAAGGATAAGCAGCTGCACAGCTTTGGAAATGTTGCTCACAGTGCCTGCTGGTAGCACCGTGAGCTCCCCACAAAGAGTAGTGCCACACACCTGCTGGCTTTATTCAGCCATTCCTTTTGCAAAGCTGTGTGCTGTGGGACGCAGCACGATGCTCAGAACCTGGGCGCTGACAGCACTGCCTCACCCAGGCTGGGTGGGTCTGGAGAAATGTCACTTAGGCCTGATCCGGGTGGGCTGGGAGGCCTCTCACCAACAGCTGTCTCTGCAGATGAACACGTCACTGCTGGGCAGCATCGGCATGCTCAACTCAGCGCCCCAGCTGCGCTGCATCAAGACCTACCAGGTGCCACCCGTCCAGCCCGCGTCCCCTGGCTCGCACAACGCCCTGCGCCTGGCCCGCCTCATCTGGACCTCCAACCGCAACGTCATCCTCATGGCCCACGATGGCAAGGAGCACCGCTTTGTGGTCTAGGGGAAGCTGCCTAAGCTGAAATGCGTTTCTGTTACAACTCCATGTAACTCTCCCTTCTTTGTTGCTGTCCTCTGGTCATGGGGCAGGACCAGCCAGGTCATGGCTCTGCTTGCTTTACCAGGTTACAGCTCTGCCCGGTTTTCCAGGCCGTAGTTCTGCCTGATTTGCCAGGTTATGACTCTGCCTGGTTTGCCAGGTCATGGTTGTGCCCGGTTTGCCAGGCTGTGGCTCTGCCTGCCTTGTCAGGCCATGGTTGTGCCCGGTTTGCCAGACCATGGCTCTGTCTGGCGTGCCAGGTCACAGCTCTGCCCGCTTTGCCAGGCCATGGCACCAGGTGTGTTCTCTTTGCAGCAGGGTGGGGGAAGCTGTGGTTCTGGGAGGCCCAGTCCCACCCTGACTGTGCCGTGGCCTGGCCGGTGGCTGCTGGCCTCGTGCTGGTGGCCTGGTTCCACGTGCTCACAGAGCCTCTGTGGTTTACCAAAGGCCCCGTTTACATGTATTCCTTCTAGTGACCACTGAATGATCAGTAGGTGGTGTGTCTTAGAGGGTTCTTAATAAGGGCCTAATTAATTGGGGATAATTAGTAGCTGAGTGTGCAGGAGTTGAACGGCCTCTGTTCTGAATGGAAGGGGCGCGTTTCCTCAGACAGTTTTTGAGGAATTGAAGTGCTGCTGTGCTCAGCCATTGCTTGCTGTCTTCTGGAATAAAGGATAACAATTCACATGTAAATAAAGAAAATATCTCTAAGATTGACTAGCAAACTTGAACAGAGGAGTATTTATATATAAAGGTGTTTTTTTGCTACCAATGAAGGTATTTATTTTGAAGAAAATAAAAAGCTTTTTCTTCCCAAAGCTGCTCCCATTTGTGCTGGATCCCATGTGGAAGCAGGGCTGTGGTCTGGCATCTGCAGGGCCACTCTCCTTCACTGCAGGAGCGTGGGGTCACAGCAAACCCTGGGAGGCAGCACAAATGGTGTCAGTGATTAACAATTCTTGCAAGAAAAACTATGAAAAATAATAAGTTATTTGAGCAGATATACTGAAACCATTTCTTCAGTAGGAATATTCCTGTGTAATGTTAGATGTGACTGTGCTTCCTTCTTACATATCTAATTCTGTGAAATATTTAACCATGTGAAAGTATGCTGGTTTATGCTCACAATAAAGCAAAAACAAATCTATGAAATACTATTTTATTTAAAAATATTGATGTATATGTTTGTATAGCTTTCTCTTTGCCATTTTTGTCCGAAAAGCTCGCAGAAATAAGGGGGCTGTCTTTACATGATAAAGTAAAAATGGTACTTATAAAATCCTCCCTTCCCCAAAAAGGAATAAATTAATTTATAAAACGGCTTCTAAATTTAAAAAGCATTGATTTCTTTTTAATTTTTCTTTTTTAAAGTTGGTCTGTGTAGTACATTATGGATGAAGGTGAGATTTACAGCCCAGGAAGATACATATCTGTTTGCTGTTTGAAAATTAAGAAAAGAGCAAGAAATTAAGACCGTTAGGAATGTTTAACACAAACTGCCATAAAATTTAATCCTTTTATCTGGCAGGAATGTAGTGTATAGTAGAGAACACTGTTATAGAATATCAGGGTCTTCTTTCTAAGTGAACTAACACAACATGCATGTACATTGTGTTCGTGAAGAAGCGTGTGTGAAGGTTAAAGATAGGAAGAAGAGCTAACAGAGACCTTCCATCTGTAATCTGAAACACTGCAGCATTCGGTTTGGATGCACGAGGAGAGTCAGGGTGCACTGTAAGCATTGTCCCATAGGCGTCCTGGGATCCCATCAGTTACATTAGGGTAGGTTCCAAGATGTGTATGTGTTTACTTTCAGAAACGAAACACAATCCCCATGGGAATGGTGGACCATAGCCCTCCAATGATTTCCTTTTGTGGTATAGTGAGCAAACATCTTGAATTATATATGCGTTAAAATGTTTGATTTAAGCTAGAAGTGTAATGGATTTTCTTAAATGCAGAAGAGAGGTTGTTCCTTTCCTCCCAGTGCTGCGGGTCAGCTCCAGCCCCACTGGGGTCCAGGATCCATCAGTGGGGCTGGACACAGCCCCCGCTGTGGTGACTTGGTTTGCCCCAGTCCTCAACTTCACAGCCTCGGTCTCTCAGCACTGCAGTAAAATTTGTATTGTCATTCCAGTGTAAGCTTTTAGTGCTTTATTGATTTGTTAGTACTGTATTTGGACTTGTCCTTGTAAACGTGGAGACGTATGTGGCTTCATTGGCAGTTTACAAGCAAAAGATGACATGATGAGACACCTGTATGAAAGTGTTGTAATGATGGAAGTCACCATGTATGGTAAATGATTGAAGTGTCTGCCTCTCGAGCAACTTCTGGAGTCCACTTCTAGTCTGCTGTATGTATACTGCATACCCTGGTGTAAATATGCTTGTGAAATAAATCTGAACTGTATCGAAGAGCATTGCTGTTATGGCATCAGCCAGGTGGCATGCAAATAATTTCCTGCCTCTGATTCATGAATCATAAGTTTTTTCACCAACTTTTTTCGTTTGAAAGTCAGCTTAAGTGATGTCCTGTCTGTTGTGCTGGGAGGACCCGCAGCCTCACTACAGAGGGAGGAAGGTGTTGGAATGAAGTTCTTGTAACTCCCCAGCAGTGTGGCTAAAGCACACAAAAGAATTGCAGTCTTCCAGAAATTCACCAGTGCCAGTATTTGCAAGATGGTGCTTTCCTTGTCACCTGGTAACTGATGCAAATAGCAACATTTCCTAGCGTGGAATGCAGGGTCCTAAGAATATTTGAGGTGCACTTGCAATGCAGATTATTTTTTCAATCGCAATTGCTTTCTGGTTGCTGAAGAATCCTAAGCACCTTGGGGCTGGTGGAGGTGTGCCGCAGTGTGCTAGGGCACCAGGGACGGTCTGCCCGCGGTCAGATGTTACCAAATAACCCTTCTAAACAAAGCAAACAGCAAGGAGGAAAAAAAAAGAAAGCAGCAACACAAAGGAATTGGGTGAATCCTCAGTTTTCACAGTGCACGAACATGTTAAAGTATTGGTGGCCCCAGGGTTTCCTCTTAGGTGAATGGCACCCGGCATGGGGGGCACGGTGCTGGCGGGGGGCAGAACTGGGCAGAGCTGGGTGAACTTTCACCTTTCCCCTCGCCGCTGACAGCGGAGCTGAGTGGTGAAAAATCAATACCTGGGAGCCAGGAGGGAAATATTTCCAACCTCTAACTAGAGAATGTATTTTGACAAGGCCAAGATAATCCAGGCTACACAGGAGAAAGAGAAAAGAAGACTCATTTTTAAAGCTTGACACTTCAAGGTGTTTTTGTGCAATGCTTTAGAGAGCATCGATACGTACAAATACCAAAGGTCAAAAAGAAAAGCCAGAAGAATTTCAAAAATTAGATGTGCTGGGTTTTGCTCTTTACTTTGCAAAACATAAACTGTGATTTGTGCATAGGAATGCTCAAATGTAGGCAACTCAGTGAGCTTGGACCCACAGTCTCCTCATTTAATAGAAATGAAAATATGCCAGAGCCTATATTGTACCTTAAGCAATTTGCCTATAAAAAGTACATGCCTATTTCCTGCTATATATCTGCATTCAGGGACATTAATTGTTTTTGATTCGGCATGATTGCATTTTGATGCCAAAAGATCAATATTTTTTTCATTTATGCAGCATCATTTTTTTGATAATTTAATATCTAGCTGTGCGCTCGAGTTCTGCAATGAAATGACCAAAAGCTGCTGCCAGGTTCAGCTGAGAGCCAGGGTCGGAGCAGCACGTCCACGGTGTGACTGCTGCGCAGTGCCCTGCTCCCTGTTCTGCTGCTGGATGTCACAGCTGTGACTTAGGGGGGCAAAATCCCATCACGGGCAGCGTCGCCTGATGAATGTAATCCAGAGCACGGAGGCAGAGGAAGAGCCAGATGAGATCAATTGCGAAGGTGCTCTCTTTTCCACCTTAAAAGAGCATGCATTAAGGCTGGGGGAGACGAGCCGGTCTGAGAGGTGGTGGAGATAAGGAGCAATGTACTTCTACATTATTAATTGCGTATGCGTGATCACCTCCGAACTGTCACAATATTCTGCTTGAACTGGTGCAGTAGCATTTGTCCGCTAATTAGTGGTGTTTGGAACAAGATACTGGAAATGAGAAGTCACCTGAGATTTGTAGGGGGAAAAACAAAACAAAGAAAAGCTCTGCCAGATACATCCAGTTTGCTGCCTTTGGCGGTGAGGGGTACGAGGCCATCGCAGGTGTGGCAAAGCTTCCTTCCCAGAGCCTGTTTGGTTTCTGTCCTCTTCGAAGTGTGTCAGACCTGCTTGAAAACAAAGCTATCTGAAGATGCAGACCACCGAGGTCAGTGCAAACTACATCAAATGTATTGATCAAAGAGTTTTTCCAGAGAGCGTAATGTTCCTGTTTTACATTGCGTGTGTGTCTTGTGGCCCATCAGCATTCCTTGCAGCTGACTCAGAAATCCATCCACACGCGTTTGGCCTCCCGAGGCAGTGCAGGGGGACGTGCAGTCCCTTCTGCAGCCTCCTGAGTGAGGACAGCACAGGCAAGTGCAGAGTCAGGGCAGAGAGAGCCCTGTTTCAACCCCACGTGAAATGGATGAAAAGGACACGATTCCTTTAACGAAGCAGATTAACTATGGGGAAGAAAAAGCAGAGGGATGGCGCATAGAAACATGGTCAGTAGGGATGAGTAGGGTTTGGGCTTGGTGACCTTTGAGGTCTGTTCCAACTTTAGTGATTCTGTGAAGGGTAGAGGCTATCTCCAGGCTTGCCTTTTCATGCACATTTCATGCCAGGATCCTGGGTGTCCACTGAAACCCTTGTGCGGAGAGCACGGCTTTCCTCTGTGTGGAGATGGATGCAACCATGTCTACCAATGACTTCACCAGTGTTCGGAAGTGGGTTTGGTCTCAAAAATGATTCTTGTAGCAAATTTTTGTAGCCATAACATTTTTTCAAGTTAACGAGTCATTCTCAAGCAAAGCAGTGTGAATGGAAAACCTTTAATATTTTTTTGCCTGTAGCTTATATATTTAAAAGCCAACGTATTGGTAGCAGAAACTGGATGAGACACAGAGATGGACCAAGTCCACCGGGTGCTGCAGGAACTTTCCTTAGAAAACACTTAGAAAGCCCTTGCCTTAGGACTTTGGGTTCTGGTGGCAGAATCCAAAACCTGGAGTGTCCTCTGGCCATCGCCTCTGCCCGTGCCACCTTCAACAGCTGCAGTACATAGGTCAGACCTGAGCCTCCTGTCCAGAATGAGAGATGGAGGGGCTGCTGATGGCCAGGAGCTCTGTTTTCTGATGGGAGAGGTACCACGTTCAGCTTCCAGAGCTTGCAAGAGACCCATTTTCCGGCAAGCATTCCTGAAAATGTGTGAATTGAGTCATGCCACACTTGGAGGAGTATTAAGCAGTGATCAACACCTAGAATCCCACTTGCCCCCATGAATGCAGTTAAGACATTCAGACTGTAAAGGGCAACGTCTGTACACTAGAATTGCAACACATACAGCCAAGAAAATTAAGCACAACAGGAATAAGGAAAATGCTTGAATAGGGTTATGGGGGCAATGCTGTGGAGTTGGTGGCTGCACCTGGACAGAAGATAGAGGTCTGACACAAGGTACCGCAGCGGGGAAAGTCGGGTTTCTCTTGTTTTCCAAATAAAAGATGTCCCATCTGAGCCTGGCCTTAAGCAAACACCACAACTCTAATAGCAGTCATAGTTGGGTCTTAACAAAAATATCAGTAAAAATATGCATTGGGCAGTCCAAGCCTTCGCTGTGATAAATTGACACTTGATGGCAATAGTTGCCTGGAGTGCTCTTTGAACAGGAGGGCTCCTGGGGAACTTCTCTCTATCTCTGATGTCTGAAAATTAAAAATTAATCTTGTATGAAAAATTAAAAGGTGAAACTTTCTGCTGCAGCAGCGCAGCTTTTTGAATGTTGATTTTGTTTTTAAAATGAAGTCAGAGTGACATCTACGGGAAGATCCTTGTTGATTGTTACAATTAGAATATATGGTGTAATTGATTTCTGTAAATTAGAAACCAATTAACCAAGAACTGGAGTGGCCTAAAATATGGAAGTGGGGAGGGCAGGTATTTATTTACTGCAGTGACCGATTTTAAACAGCATGTCCCAGCACTGG